TTTTTTTTTTTTTTTTTTTTTTTTTTTTTTTTGCACAATTAATGACGAAAAAAACGGGCGGTATGAGTGAATAGTATTAATTTTTTTTTTACTGACACATTTTTTGCTGTTGTTGCCGTAGTTGCTGCTGTTGGTGTTTTCATTTTTATCACTCAATTGATGCTATTTTTTATTCACAAATTACCGCCTAGTTGCGTTTAGTTTTAGTACAAAGGAAGGTTTTTTTTTAAAGATTTATTCACCTTCTCACATTTGTGCGACACTTTTTGTCACTGCTATTGCCCAATCGGTTATGAGTGGAAAATTAGGAGGGTAGTGGCGATATCGGCTGTTCTTAACTTCACTGAAAAGTTGCTCTCCAGTAACTGTATGTATGAACATTTGTTGAATTTCAAGATTTTCTCCGGTCGTTTGCACTCAGAATGTTATCTACGTAATATTGACTACTTTAAAGGCTGAAAAAAGAAGTACTTCTGCTCGGTTTACAAACTTAGCTGCGTGGAACGGAATGGGTCTTTGGGCTGAATTACTCTGCATCTCAAAACTTAGCAGCGAAAGATATTCCTTAAACTAGATAGGTTTCTTGTTGTCAATGTAAATTGTAGAATTTGCTGAATATAGTTTTTCAGTGCGAGATAGGGAGAGAAATCGCCATCAATGTTTCTGTTTTTTTTCGTTATTAACACGAAAAGTTAGTGGCATTGAATACGTCATTTTTTTATTTTTCTATTTTTTATTCGTCAAACGCTAACATAAAATTTGCAAGGAGGCTGCCCTATTTTCATCTAAATTCTTAGACAAAAAAACTTTAAATATGATACCTTGTATGTGTGTCAATTTTTGAAGTCTGATTGCTATATTTTTTAATTGGCTAATTCCTTATACAAAAATTGCGTTCTTTTTTTTTGTCGTTTTTTTTTTATTTGTTTTGATATGAGTTATTTAATTTGCTAATTTGCTGAATAAAGGTGAATCTCGTTTTTTCTTCGGTTGTGCAGAAATCGAAATAGCTTTTTTGCTTTATTCGATTTTTTAAAAAAAATATTGAACT